CTGATACAGATAAATCACAGATGAAAACCTGGATCACAAATGATGTGTTCCAGGCAGTGGGAGAAAATAACGTGCATTATCCTAAACTTTGGGTTTTGTAACTTTGCAAATGTTTTACGTGCATAAAAAATAACCAACAGCTAAACTCAAAATGCATAATGTATTAACAGTGATTATTGACACGTGATAACTAAGGAGACTAAGCTCTTCTGAAAGAGGTGCAATGATTGTGTGAGGCTGATGAATCTATTGATCAGACAAACGCACTATAATTACCACGATGGCTAAAGATCATTTTATTTGAAAGTTTAATTTTGAGGCTACTTATTCGACCGTTATTAGACACTAAAGTATTCAAGCACACAAGGACTTGATTAAAAGGGATGACTGAAGTGAAATGTACTGCTAAATGTTTTCTGTTATTCAAAGTGTTTATGTTTGACAATAACACACGGAAATGAATAAAGATCATTATGCACAGAGTCCTCATTTTATCAATGATGAAGATGTTTAATTCAATTCAGTTTTATTTATATATCATTATTTCACAACAACAGTTGGCCCAAGGCCCTTTTTGTTTCAAGTTAAAGACCCTACAATATTAAAAAGAAACCCCAACAATCCCACAACCTGTGAGCAAGCACTTGGCAGCAGTGGGAAGAAAAATCTCCCATTCAACAGGAAGAAACCTCTGGCGCCATCTGCTGCCACTGGTTGGGGGTGATGGGGAAAGAAAGAGCAGAGAGACCGGACAAAAGGCAGACTAGGAGAGAGAGCTAGAGATGAATAATAAGTAATGATTAAATCCAGTAGTGGTGTATAAGGACACAGAGAGTGAAAGGAGACGCGTGAAGAAGAAACGCTCAGTGCATCATGGGAAGCCCCCCCACCCAGCGTCCAACCGACCATAACCCTGAAGGAAAAGTTTAAGCCCAAGCATTGATGTAAACTGAGTGCTGGTTTCTTGGTAGAGATTCACAACACAGAAGCATTTTACTTCTGCTATGAAGGAATACAATTTATCTGCATAAGATTTTCATTGTAACAATAAAATAAAGCATCTAAAAAAAGCAGATGGTGTGTCACTGGGGGGAAAAGTATCTTAACATGAATTGTAAAACAGTAAAAATGCTCGAGGGCATTTTTAAATGAAATTAAATGAAAGAAGTGTTGTTCTTGCTGTACTAAGTGAAACTGAGTGCAACACAGTATGGTGTATTTTCTCATCTTCTAATTTTGGCTGGCATGTTTGCTCAATAACTCAGCAGTGTTTCATCTTTTCCTTTTTTGTCCATGGTGCATAAAAGAAACGCTCCCTATCGACAACCTTTTCTAACAGCAAACGGTTTTACTTTTCATGTAAAACTGTTTGCTGGGAGTCTTGTGAAAAACACAAGTTTAGGTATTAATAATGGTACCCATTAGCATATAGTAATGTAAAGCAGATTAATGTAACAAATATTTAACATTAGTTGGTGTGAGCTCACAGTTACTATGTTAATAAATCCCTCTGTGGTCTTTGCTGCCATTTTTAGATCATGTTCGCATCAAATCTCTTTCTCTATTAAGAAGAAATACTATTCAGTACATTAAGATTCAAAGGACTAATCATTTTTCTGCACAGCCCCAGCCATTTGAATATATATGCCTCTGTAATGCCATGTTATATAGATGTCGACATATACTACATACTAGGTATGTCTGCTGTTTTCAAACTTGTAGCTCCAAGGCATCAGGCAGCAGCTGTTGTTCACCTCCAAAACATTTCTGCAGTTTCAACATGCTGATAACTGTGAAATCTGTGCTGCAGGTAATTTAATAATCCTCATGCTCAGACTAGTATTTGCCAGAGCAGTCATGATTTTTCTATATGACCCCATTCCACCTTATTTGATACACTTAGTGGAGGTCAAAAAGGATTGATTTTCTTAATGGATACAGAGAAGGGCTGGATTTATGTCAGCTGTATCTATTTTTCTGTGGTTATGCAAAACTAAAGCCTTATGGCATGTAAAATAAATTAAACCAAAAAAAATGAGTTGATCATTGGGTTACGCTACATTGCCCTCTTGTGGCCATTAGAATTAGGGGGATTAAATTAAAATATAGTTGATTTTATTGCAACTCAGTTTTTGAGCTTCTTGGATCAGGTTTTGGCAGTCAAAGCGTTTATGAACACAGCTCAACAGTTTAAGTGTTAAACTTTAGTTTCTGGGCAACATCCTAAAACCCAACTGTGACAAAGTGTTCAAGAAACATCAGTGAACATAAATCTGTTTGACTGCTCTTCCCCCTGCAGTAAAGCCAGTCTGGTGGCACTACCGTAATGACGAGCAGTTCCTCCTCTTTCTGTTAAAGTGTTTCCCAACAGTCACAGAGTCAACGAAAGCATGACAGCCGATATTTTTAGATGCGATTGAGCACATGATTGTTCTTTCTGCTTCACAGCTCATCTCATCATAATCACTGATGTGATCGAGGGCTCGAGGAAAGCCTCAGCTTAGGGAAGAGGCATCAGGCTGGTGGGATTATTTGAGGGAATTCAAAATAGTCAAACTATAAGTGAATACAAAGCACGTAGTTCACGAGACGAACAAATAATAATTTGCTTCTTTTTCAGTAAATGGTGTTGCGAAGACATTGATCTCAAAATTTCAGCTATTAAGTAAAATTTTGACCTGCTTATCTTAAAATTTTGAGATAACACAAAATGTTGATACTAAACCAAGAATTTTGACTTAGATCAATTTTTTTCTTTTTAGTGGGGGAAACAAACTTCCATAATGACAAGTATAACCTTAACTATAAATCCTATATTAACATTTATATCAACAAAGGGTCAAGTAATGATTTCTAATATGAACTGGGTTGATTAACGTGAGCAGCCCACAGAGACCCTCAACTCTACAGTTCCTTTCTACAGAGATCTAAGTGTAATATTCCTACTGACTGTTACTGTACTGTGGTTGAAATAACTGATAGCTGAAGTTTGAGCTGAAGCAGCAGGCAGATTTCTTTCAGACACAGAAACCTGCTGTCCAAATTAAACAGCCAGATGTTTCCTTCAAGAGCTGGTAGGGGACGAAACTGAGATAAATGCTGAAATCGAATTTGTCAAATGTCCACAAACATAATACAAAAGCTAATGTAGGGGGTGGCTGTAGCTCAGGTGGTAGAGCAGGTCATCTACTGATCGGAAGGTTGGTGGTTCGATTCCTGGCTTCCCCTAGTCTGCATGCCAAATATCCTTGGGCAAGATACTGACCCCAAATTGCTCTCTGATGCATCCGTCAGAGTATGTGTGTGTGAATGTTAGCTATAAAGCACTTAGAAAGATGTGAATGCACAAGTTGTGTAAAGCGCTTTGAGTGCTCAGATGAGTAGAAAAGCGCTATATAAGAACCAGTCCATTTTTTTTCTGTGGAAAATGTGGAAATAAATTGGTGATTCCCACTGACTCATCCATCTTCTTCCACTTATTGCAGGGAAGCTCGAGCCTCAGCTGCCACATAGCAAAACACGGGGGTGTTGCAGGGCTGACACAAAGAAACAACCACTCACATTCACCCCTACAGCTAATTTAGAATCACTAATCAACCTAACCCCACAAACTGCCTGTCTGAGAGGACCCACTCAGCATGAAAATTCCACACAGGAAGGTCTCAGGCAGATTGGATAGTGGATTCAAAACCCAAACCTTTTTGCTGTGAGACAACAGTGCGAACCACTTCTCCACTGTACCGTCCAGGTGTGACAGCACGATTCCCACCCATGTGGTACAAAAAAAGAATCTGATTTTTATATTTTAGTAATTAAAGCAACTTATTCATCTTCTTAAAATTTAGCCCAGATTAATTTTACATTAAAAAAAATCTTTTATGACTGCAGTGTTAGAAGAAGTGCTCGCCTTTTTTTCTTCCTTGGAGAACAAATGTGTTACTGAAGATCTATTTTTTAGAGTAAATATCCTCGTGATGGATTATGCTGGAGGGAGGTTCTCTTCAGTGATAGTTAAAAGTTATGCTTGGCAATGACACTACAGGATGTTCCACATCTGCAGAGATCTCTGCTTTAACGTGGTTGTGCAGATGCCCGCTCTCATTTCACTGCAGAGCAGATCTGAAACCCAGGTAATGGGATGCTAATTGGGCTAATAAATGGAAAAGCTGTCCCAGTGTGTCAGATTAATCTTGCTCCCCAAAGGACTTCAGTCATGCCCGCTGTCTAGTCAATTAAATGTTTAGTTAACACAAAAGACTAATGTGAAAAAACACAAAGGTTACCGGATCGAACTGGCTTCAGATGGTCCCTCATCCATTTTGAGCCTGCATGGAAACTCCTATTAAACTTAGTTTAATCCATTTTTATTGATTGCATGTACTTCTGCTATCATGTTTGATTTGTTTCAGACTAACAGGCAGAACAAATGCAGAGTATAGAGGCAGTCACAATAAATGATCCGCTTCAGCATTATCATTTGACATAATGATGGCGGTTACTGCCCTTGTATACTGGCAGAAAGAAGCTCAGATGAAGAAAGTTTAAGTTTTTACCAGCTAGAACACATTTAAGGAGCGATCCCCCCCCCTTTTATTTCAATGTTTGCATTTTTGGTAAAACAAATAGAAAGAAAGAAAGAAAGAAAGAATGAAAGAAAGAAAGAAAGAAAGAAAGAAAGAAAGACTACAAAATTGCAGGGATGGAATCAAATTATTCTTCTTATCATTTTCTATCTAGTGATCTTAGAAAATAAACCAATGCTGTGGACAAAATTGAGAAGAAAGAAGTGAACATAACTGAAGCGTTAGCTTAAATATGTCAAATCAAAGTAATTTGAGGAAAGGAGCAGAGATCCTCTTTACGAACCATAATAATCTAAAATCTGTGGCGTTTCAAATCCTCCAAATTAGCTCGATCAGTCAACCCGGATCACAATCTCCGCCCCTCTTTACGCATGCGCAAAGTAGCGTGGGGAGCTGTCCAGTCACTCGGTGCTGGAGCGTTCTCGGAGAAGCAGCTTCCCCTCTCCGGTCCACCGACACAGACGGGAGCGATGGAGGAAGAGTTGAAATGCCCCGTTTGCGGGTCTCTCTTCAAGGACCCCATCCTGCTTCCGTGTTCCCACAACGTCTGCCTGGGATGCGCTCGGAACATCACCGTCCAGACCCCGGAGGGGGAGACCCCGGTGCAGAGCCGAGCCTCGGGCAGCTCTGACTACGACTACCTGGACATGGACAAGATGAGTCTGTACAGCGAGACGGACAGCGGATACGGCTCCTACACGCCGTGCCAGCTCAAGTCTCCAAACGGGGTGCGGGTGTTTCCGCCTGCGATCCCCCACCGACAGTGCACACTCACCTGTCCGCTGTGCCACCGGAGCGTCTCTCTGGACGAGCGGGGGCTCCGGGGTTTCCCTCGGAACCGGCTGCTGGAGGCCATCGTGGCGCGGTACCAACAGACCCGCGCCGCCTCCTCCTCATCTTCCAACGCGGTGAAGTGCCAGCTGTGCGACCGCAACCCGGTGGACGCGGCGGTGATGTGCGAGCAGTGCGACGTCTACTACTGCAACGCCTGCCAGCAACGATGCCACCCGTCCCGCGGTCCCCTCGCCAAGCACCGACTGGTGCCGCCGCCAAACAAGGCGGCAGGAGCGGGGGCTAGCGGAGGCGGCGGTGGTCAGCAGCCGCCCGCCACCGCGCGGAAACCGGCGACGTGCGTGGATCACGAAGCGGAAAACTTCAGCATGTATTGCAGCAGCTGCAAGGCTCCGGTGTGCATGAAGTGTCTGGAGGAGGGAAAACACGCCAAGCACGACGTCAAACCGCTGGCCGTGATGTGGAAGCAACACAAAGTGAGTGGACACGCACTCACAACATCCACAGAGTCAAGGCCGTAAGGTTCCGTTAGTGGGCTCATACTAATAATTAGACTATTGAATCCCAAAGAGCTGATTCATTACTCTCTGTCTCTCTTTCGCCCCCCCCCCCCCTCCCTCTCTCGCACACACACACACACACACATACACACACACACACACACACACAGAGGCTACCAGAGGCCATTACCTGAAGTGCCCTCGCTGAGCCTGATCTATCTATCTATCTATCTATCTATCTATCTATCTATCTATCTATCTATAAATGACTGCTAAGTACTTCATACTTCATCATGTTTTCCACAGAAACAGAAAACACTCATGTGGGATCCTGTGCTGAGTGTGTTTGTGTGTGTGTGTGTGGGAATAACTAAACGAAATAGCAGTGATTCATCAGAACATAATTACTGTAGGCGTCAAAGCCCAGTGTGCTTCTGTGTGCACTGTGTATGTGTGTGAATGCAACATGCGTCATCACATGAAGGGTCGCACAGCTTTACTGCCCCACATCTGCACTGCAATGTGTGTATATATATATATATATATATATATATATATATATATGATGTGGATGGTGAGTGTAGGCAGAGGAGGTCATCGCTATTCCTCAGGCGCTGGGATGAGGAAGCTCAAGTCATGAGTTTAAATGTTTCCCTGATGTCTGTGGCTGGTTATAATCTGACAAGAGAATGAATTATAAAGTAATTATAATTAGCATATCTACACTTTTTAAAAACATATCTGTTTGTGTGGAATAAATTTAAGGCAGTTACTTCAGTCTGAAGGAAAATGTTTACATTTTAAAAAATCTCGACTTGTATATTTGAGAAATGTTCTTGAAAACATGACTGCTGATGATAGCTGATGATATACTATATATCATGCTGGGTATCTCTAATGATATGGACTGGACAGAGTGTTATGATTGCAAGGATTCCACATCATTTGATGGAAATTCAATTTATCAACCTACAGAGGACTGAATTCAAAAACACCTCAGAAATCAAAGTGTAAAAATAAAGGTTAGTCCATTTTTTCAAAATTTGGTACTCAGATGGTATGCAGTAGTTTGTATAGTCACAACGTGCTTATATACGCCCGACCCTTGTCAGGGCATGCTCCTAATGAGACAACGGATGGTGTCCTGGGGGATCTCATACCAGATCTGGGAGGCATCCCAGAGGTGTTCTGTTGGATTTAGGTCAGGGGAGTGTGGGGCTGAGTCAGTGGTATCAGTGCCTTAATTCTCCAGCATCTGCCTCCATATTTTCACATGAGGTATTGTCATGCACAGGTAAGAACCCAGGACCCACTACACCCACAGTCTAGGGTCCACAATGGGTGACAATGGGTCCAACAATTTTATTCCTAATATCTCTATAAGCCACAGAAAATCACTGACCCACCACCAAACTGGTCACGCTGAACAATGAACAAGCGTATTGTTTCCACGGCTTCTCCAGACCTTTGCTCACGATTAACCTGCCTCATGTTACAAGTAGTGACACTGACTCTAGCCAAATGAAAAACTAGTGAAGAAAAAGTCAGAAATGATGAGGAGGGGGGTTGGGGGGCTGTCTCCTTGTTGCCCCACACCTAGTGATAATTTCATAACACCAAAAATGATTAGCAACCCTCTCTGCTACTCGATCCGATCGATATTCCAGACGTTTAACTGACTTGATGCTATACTCAGATTAAAACCAATTTCTTTCATTTTTTGAGAAGTGTATAAAAGAGGAATGGAAAATTCAGCTCTGAAAGGTGAGGTCAATGTGGAAATATTGTTAACCTGTATTCTTTTTGATGGCCAGCAGGGGGAAACTCCGGTGGATGTTCTTGAAAGTCTAATTGTATAAAAAATAGTCCTTTTTTTTATGTCATCCGTGAATAATTTTTTAAATTTCCTGATAATTTTACGGTCTCAGTCGGTAGTTTTAAGCCTTATTTAATACCACACGGTGATCATTTTGTAAATTCTAATCAATTTTTTGAGAAAAAGGGTAAAGCAGGGTGTGATGTAGTGCGCAACAGGCTTGCAGCATGTTGTATTCTCAATTTCTCAGACAGATCCATATAAACAAGTCTCTGAAAACCAAAATACCAAACTCGAAGCTTCAAAATGTGTGGCATGGTGTCTACATGTGTCTTTAATATAGTATTTTTTGTTTTGACTAAATGAAAAATTTAAATGGTTTGCTCTACCTCTGCCCGAACATTTATTTTTGAAATCTCTAAACCCATTTTGTGTTTTTCCTTTGAACATGTACTGTAAATGCAATAAGTCCACTTTACAGTTGTTTTTGTCCATTTGATAAGCAAATGTGTTGAATAAGCAAAGAAATGGATGGATAGATGGAATTAAATGATTAGGATGTTGGTGATTTTTTTCAGGGAGGGGAACAATTCCTCCATAGTGTAAAAAGCCTGCTTTGCTGTACAGCAATCCATCAGGGATTGTTGGATTTGTAAGGCAGGATACAGAAAGCAGACTGAGATTACAATGTTTGTTATCTTAACCTTAGTTTCTGCAAATATTTGTAACTGTATCAGAAAAATTGAGCAATTTCTTATGTACAAACTGCAAATAAACAGTGCATGGCTTTGCACCAAATCCTCATCCAGCAACCTTCTCGCCCGTGAGAGAAAACCTCTGCTCAGCATTGCTACAAACACCCAGTGGTGCCATCATCTCCAGTGATGGTGGTGAGTTTTCCCTCTTTAGCCTGTGGACTTAAGGCAACATGGAGTATTATCGATCAATGGTTTCTCGTTAACTTAGTGGAGGTCTTATCATATTTCTTTATGAACGTGTTAAACTGATTCTAATCCAAACAACTGATGCAGTTAGACAGTAAACCAAATTTGTTTTTTGCATGTAAATCTAAAATTTTTAAAACTTATAAAAAAAAAAATAGACAATTTTGGACTTTTGCATCACATTTTCCTCCTAGACATTAGGGTCAGAATGTGATTCAAACAGATTATGTTTGCAATAATTCAGAACTTCTTGTTAGTGAAAAATGCAATGGAGGACATTGAACTTGGCTTGTAATAATTTGGATAGTCGTCTTCATCTTATGTGAGTAAAACTTTCATTCATTCTACAATCAGAAGGGACACGGTTTGGCTAAAAACCTACAACACTGTTCCTTATCCAAATTCATCCCTGCCTGCCAATAAAAGGAGAAACAAACCCACCTGCTGGTTTCATTAATGGATGATTAAACTGATTTATGATTATTTCATTACCTAATGACATTTTTCATTAATTTTAAAATCCAGGGTTGAGGTCGAGGCTCATTCCTCTCGGGCTACGCGGTGACGTGACTTTGTAAACTCTAAACAATGGTGCTGTCCGTTATAGTTCATGTATCGTCATTATTTTTTTAATTGTTTTTGAAGAAATGTTGGATTTGTCAGTACGTGAGGCAAAATTTTTGGTCTTATAGTTATCACCATTATGATAATTATCATTATGGTTAAAAAAAGGCCTCAGGGTCTGTAAGTAAAGGAGTTTTAATAAAATGTTTTAGCAACTTTTAAAGGCCCATAATGGGTTGAATGTTTATCCAGCCCATGTCTCCTTTTAGATTTCGGCTTGCTTTCTGTTAGTAATAGAACATTTCATCCTCACACTCCGATTTCATTTGTGTAAACTAAAAGCCATTTTTGCCTCTCTCCTGCTAAGTGGGTCATTGGGACTAATCTCTCAGTCTGCCTCTTGTGTTTTTTGTGTGATTGGAAGCCTCCAGACATTCCATTCATCATTTATCCACCACACATCTCTTCGCCTCTTCTTGGCTTTCACTCATCTCTCACCTTCTCCTGTATCCCTCACTTATTTACACTCTCCCCTCCCCCTCATTTACCTTCCCCTACCTCGTCTCGTCCTTCCTCCATCTTTCTCTCTATCATCCTGTCCCATAAATGAACCGTGAAAATCCCATCAGACTACGGGAGTGAGAGGGGGTGTTGATAAGTGACGAGCGGCGTATGAATAAGAGATGGCCACCACTTAGTTAATACGGTGTCCTTCACGTTGAAGGAGATCGATGACTGGCTGTCGTCCTCTCTCTCAGTCCACACGTGAGCAGGGAACAAGCAGCGTCTTGTGCGTCTTTGTTGCAGACCTGAAATGGCTGTTGAGTGTTGAAGTGTCGCTCAGTGAGGTCAGTACCGTAGAGTGGGCTTTTGTTCTGGCATAATTTCTCTTCCTCATATGTTTTGTTTTGTGGGCGTATCTTGATCTGGTTGCCATCCTGCTTCCTACCATCCTTCATCTCTTTCTCTTTCCGGTCTTCTTCTTATTCACATGGTTTCTCTTTCTGTGCACCATAAGGACAGTGGGCGTTATGAAAAAAAAAGAGAGCTTTCGTGAGGAAATTAGCCGTCTGTTGTAGACAAATTGATCGATTAACCGAAGTGTCGTGCTTTGCATGCAAGTCTGTCTGCAGTGGCTTACATGATATTGAACAAAAAACAACTGAGACGATCATGCAACCAATTTTGTATTTAAATTTAAAAGCTGAATATTAAACGTATTATAAATGTATTATATAATAACGTGGGCAGCACAGTGGCATGGTGGTGCGGTGGTTACCACTATTGCCTCACAGCAAGAAGTCCTGAGTTCAATTCCACCAGCAGGCTTGGGTCTTTCTGTGTGGAGATTGCATGTTTTCCCCGTGTTTGCGTGGGTTCTCCCCGGGTAATCTGGCTTCCTCCCACAGTCCAAAGATATGCACTTAGTGGGCATAAGTTAATT